GGATTTTACATAAGAACAAGCCTCGGCTCTCTTATTTTTTTAATAGAATAGCTTAATTTACCACATACATTATATTAAGCTTATCATAGAATAATATTAAAAAATTTCATTTAATAATATATTACGACAAAGTTAGTACTTGAACGAAGAAAAAAAACTTCTTATCTTTTTATACATGACCGAGAATTCTCATGCAATATCTGTCTTGACATACAAGAGACCTAAATTTTTAGTTGATGTAATTTCTTGAAAAAGATAATATAGACCAAGGGATTTCTTGTAATTTATGCTTTATAACAATCTTATAGGAGTTAATCTAATATTATTATAAAAGTGGATTGGTATGTTAAAACATTTCTTCCCAAAATACCCTCCAAAATACATACATATATAAATAGAACACATACATACATCCTCCAAAACACATGCATACATACATAATAAAACACATATATACATGAACATACATGCATACTTAAATGAGAAAAAATATTACTTTTTATAATTATTTTATTAATAATTTTCTTAATTAAATTCCTTTATGGCCGGCATTTAATATCTTAAATGACCTCTTCCATCCACTCTCTCCACTATTTCACAAGTCCTTTCAATTCCTACTCATACAATTCATTCTATTTAAAAAACAAGAAGTAATATTGACAATTAAATATATTGTTATTGAATTATTAAAAGCATCATATTAGTTCCTAATTAAATAACATATAGTTTACATCAGGTATTAGGTATTAGGTATAAATAATAGTTTCAAAAAATTCTGCATATCTTTATATAAAAGAGAGAAAGAACAAAAATAGCTCATGTCCAAATTAACCTGATCAAGCCCCTGCATCACAACGTGTCTGGCTTAACAAATTAAAAACGAGAAATAGATTTTAGTAGGTTATTAAAATTAGACAGTCGAGTCAAAATTAAAAAGAAAAACACACACACTTAATTCAAAGCCCAAACCTCTTCAATCTACAAATTTAGACAATTCTCTTCACTAACCCTTTTTCATTAATTATAGTTAATAAACCACCCAGTAATCCTCTCAAACATCCCATTACCAGCAAGCGTTTCTCACCTCTACATAAATACACACTAAACTGAAAAAAGAGAAGAACCAGCGGCCTCAGCAAAAATTAATCTCCAACGAATAATAAATCATCAAGAGCAGTTCAAAGGTAACTCATTTAAGGGCACACTAAAATACCGATAAGAAAAGGAGAGGAGCATGTTGTTGCCCCTTCTCAACCACTACGTCGAATATAAAGAGCAGAAGAAACCCTCTTCTTTGTCCGCGAGCAACATGCAAATTAGCCATTGAGATTTCATGGTGTGCTGTTGATGAAGCCTGTCAACCACCTTCTTTGTTATCTCTTCATCATAGTCAGCATCAACATCGACTCCAGTGAAATCACAATCTTCTGTCAAAGTTTACGGCCTACCTCTACATCGCTTTTGTTCTAGAAATTCACCAGTAAGTCTATTACAGCCTAATGGTCATGTTGTTGAGATTGAAGGTGAGAAAACGGGTAAGAGAAAATTTCTAATTGTTTACAGGTTTAAAAATAACTATATGTTATGCTATTATATGTTATTATGCATTATAAATAGCCACATATGTCAACTTGCTAATAAAAGCAACACTGAGGAGTAGCAATATCATTAGAAGGGTGATAGTTGGATGTATAGCAGAGGCGAGTCTTTGTTAAATTTTAGATATTGAAATGATTATTCTTGAATTTTGTAAGGCGTGTTCTTTAGAGTGTGTACTCTTGCACCAATAGCTATTAGACCCAGAAGCAAGACTGTGCCGTAAGGGGTTGAAGGGTACACACTGCAATGCTTCCATGGCTAGCTTTTCTATTGCTCTTCCTGAATAACTTACTTTTATTTTTAATAGCCATTTGTTTGTCTTCAACTTTTAGGTGGATTTTGTACAAGTCAGCAATAGTTTGGCTTACGACAAGGCTCGAGCTAACTTTTCATCATTGGACTGAAGCTTCTCATGCATTTAATTATTTGGAAGAGAGTTTCGATTTTGAACATTTATAATGAATCAATGTCTAAAAGAGAGTTCATTTTTATTATTGATCTTCTATATATGTTTATATATTGATGATACTTTTTTAAATAAAATAAATTATAGTTTTACTTTTACCATATATATATATATATATCTTCTACACATGAATATTGGTCTTAACAAAGATTTTTATTATGAGAAAGGATGATGAGCCTATGAGACAAGAGCCATGGTTTAGAATGAAGTTGGACATATAATAATGGAAGGTTACTGTGAATGAATTAGCAACTAATGTATTTATGTAAAAAAAATTTTACTTCAAGTACAAAATATTTCATCCCGCTGATTGAGAATTTGCACATGCAGATATCTTACTAATTATTTAGAAGAGAGCTCCAATTTTGAACATTTGTAATGAATCAATGTCCAAAAGAGAGTTCACTTTCATTCTTGATCTTCTACATATGTTTAAATATTAAAAATAATTTTTTAAAAGAACATAATTTATCTTTTACTTTTATCATATATGTTCACAAAATTCTATCTTATTAGTTTTGAACAAAGTTTGAAAAATTGAATTGATATTTTTAGGCCATATAAAGCAAAAAAATTATTATGAAAATGCAAAAGAAAAAAATATGTTCACGTGCAACGCACGTGCACTATACTAGTTCTATTAAATATGTCGGGACCATGGATGACCCAAATGATTGAAAGGTTCTAATATAACTCTTGTGAACTTGGGTTCAACTCTCAAATTGAAATAATAATAATAAAATACTAGTAAATATCTCGGACAACCTAACAAAGGGGCGGATCACGATCCTATTCTAATCTGACTGACTTTGGGTTCGGGTGAACCCAATGTAGAATAACAACAAATTAACCATGCATTACAAATCATCTAAATTACTGAAACATATTTAACTTCAAAATTAAAAATTAACTCAGAATATGAATTCACATCGACACACACGATTATAATAGAAGAAAAATAATTGCAGTTTATACCTTGTTTTCTACACCTCGTATTTTGTTCTTAATATTTAACATATTTAACTTTACAATAAAAAACTCAACCGAAATCACGTGTTTTCATATCAGTACACATGGAAGAAAAAAAAATCCAGATTATGATTTTATATAAACATGATGCGTAATTATAACAGGAAAAAAAAACCTTACAAATTTAGGTAGAAAGCTGCAGACACCAAATATGATTCTACAACAACAGTATTGAAGAGGGTTGATTTGTACTTCGTGTAACCCAAACCTCATATAAATAGACTCATATCATGTTATTAGAATTATAATGGGATGGAAGTTATTTTCATTACTATATTATCACGAAGCAATGGTGGATAATTGCATTATATTTATTATCTTTGTGAAATTCCTCAGTGCATATTATATTGTTTTCACTAAATTTTCTTACATTAATCTTTTGCTCAGATTGAGATTCTTATTATAGTTTTCTATAGAAATATTTCATTAAATCCTTAATAGTGAAAATCAGGGAGTTTATACCCACAATAGTTCTATTAAAAAAAGAAAAAGAGGGGCAAAACAAAGGGCTTCCACAAAATGGAGTTCTTTGCAATTTGTACGTGCTCATTTTCAGAAGCTAGCGCGCTTTTGTTTGATATAATCCATCTAAGGTGAACTGGTCATATCTGATTTCAAGTGCCAATAGTAAATGACTTTAACACTGAGTAAATGTTTTTAGAGAATATATCTTCAAAAAAAAGATAGAAAATAGTCCAAACATAAAATGAAAAGGGTACAACATAAATTTCAGGCAAGCACAAAATATGTTAAGGAGACAAAAGGTAAAGAAGAAGACTCAAAACACAAAAGTCTAAACTTCATAGAAAATAAGAGTACAGCTAATTAAGTTCAAACTTCATAGAATAGTATACCAAATGCATAAATACAAAAAGCAAAAATGTCAAAGACCACAGCTGTTATAATGTTTAGGACGGTTCTCAGCGAAAGCATCTTTACAAACTTCATGTAATTCTACCCGAATCTCCTTCATATACTCTTCCCTCTCCTTCAGACGATGCAATATTGCAGGCGATGCTTTTCTTGCATCACGGCGTATGTTCTCCAGCACATCAAGCCCATAAGGTTCGAATATTTGTTCGATACATCTCAAATTGGAAGCTAAAGAAGATGAATAAGTAAACAACATATTAGTCACAATTAACCCTAAAAACTAGGGTTAATCGTGGATAAACCCCTATACTACTGCCCAATTGCGAATAGTCCCCGTAGTTCTATTATTGCAGATAGACCACTGAGTGATTTTTAATGACCCTTTTACCCTTAGGCGGACTATTTGTCAAAAAAAAAAAAAAAAAAAATTTCTCTTTCTCTGAGGGCAAGCGAGTAAATAAAAAATTCACTTATGCGTCTATCTGTATTTGTCAAAAAAAAAAAAAAACAAATTTCTCTTTCTCTGAGGGCAAGCGAGTAAATAAAAAATTCACTTATGCGTCTATCTGCAACAATAGAACTACATGGTTATATCCGCAGTTGGGAGATAGTACAAGGGGTCTGTCAGCAACTAACCTACAAACAATATATGTGAATGTAACCGACTTGATACGTATTTCTACTTACATGTGAAGGCTTCTTTCATTTGAATTTGAAATTTTGGACTGCTTATTTCATCTGCCATCTTTTCTATTCTCTCCTCTACTCTCATGACTGTCGTCTTTACTCGTTCAAGTAACATATGAAACTCAAACCTGACAAGCAATTTCCACACAGGCTTTTAGTAAAAGGAAATATCTAAAGATAGCAAAAGTTAAATCATATTTTCGTGGACAAGAAATCAATATTAAGCTACAGATACATACATGGCATCTTCACACTTGAATAGTTGTTCCGGGTATTTGTTGGGTTCCGGTTTAGAGCCATAACTTCCACTGTCAGCCGGTAATATTCAATCATTATTGAGTACTGAATTTTCAAGAGGTGTCCTATGACTACTGGTAGGTTCTCTCAACTGCAAATGACAGAGGAAAATATATCAGCAGGTGATCAGAATGAAAAATGAATGCAACATCGGAACAATTATTACCTCCTCAGGAATAAGTCTGTAGCTAGGGGTCGAACTTTCCCAGCTTGAAGAATAAAGCTGTGAAATTGGTTTTCTATATTCTTGTTTATGTTGGGAATTTACGTCGTAACCTCTAAAACAGCAGAAACGCAGTATAAAGAAAATACACCAATATTTAACGAGGTTCGGCAACTGCCTACGTTCTCGGGAGCCACACAGTAAATTTTTTTATTAATCAACAAGAAATTACAAAGCTTAGAGCAGATCTCAAACTGAGATCTCTCAATAAATACACAATACTGTACCTACAATGTTATACAATTCCTCTTCTTAAATCCTCTCTCTTTAATTCCCTTTTCTTAAATTTCTCCCCTTTTAATCCCCCTAAAATCACTGCTTGGGCGCTGGAGAAAAAAAAAACGCTGGAGAAAAGAAGAGAGAAGAGGTCGCCGCTGGATCTGAGCACAAGAAGAAGCGTTGGATCCGTGCCCTGGGGTTTCCCTTTTATAGGGAAACCCTAGCGACAGCCTGTCGCCCTCGCCTGCAGCGCTCGAGCTCGAGCTTGCCTGCAGCGATTCGATCTCGCCTGCTTCGAGTTCGCCCGCGCTCCACCAATTCGAGCTTTGCCTGGACCACGTCTCGAGCTCGCCTGCTGCAACTTCGAGCTCGCCTAACCTCGTCGAGCTCGCCTACAGCTCTTGTCCGCCCCAACCTTGCCTGAAGGTCCCGCCGAGCTCGCTTGCTCACGAGATCTCGAGCTCACCGACTGGAGCTCATCCTCGCCTGAGCTTCGTTCTCGCCTGGAGAAGCTCGCTTGCAGGTGAGTTTGGGCTACACACCCAGATCCAACAATCGCCCACTTAGAGACCAAATCGCCGTCAGCAGGCTATCTCAACAAGCACTTCCTCCTGTGTGACTCCGCATTCATCACCTATGCATGAAGCCCAACTGAAGTTGCGCACAACTCTAGTTTCTGAAAGGTCATTGCCTTTGTCAACATATCCGCTGGATTCTTATTTCCTTGGATCTTCAGTTGAAATTCTTTGGGAACTTGTCGGGCTCTGTATCTTCTGGAATCATCCTATTCCTTTTTTCACTCGATACACCCACTGGTTGTGATGTGCCTTCTTCCCTATGAGTAACTCAACTAGTTCCCATGTTTGGTTGGAGATCAGAGATTTTATCTCTTCTTTTATAGCAAACTCTCACTTGCTCGCATCTCCATTCTGACAAGCTTCATCAAAGCTTTCAGACTCCCCTTCATTTGTCAGCAACATATAATTCATGTATCTGCTGTTAGGTACAGGAGGACGAGTAGTTCTCCTCAATATCGGAGCTGGTGCATCGGGCTTCTACGCACCGTTATGTCCAACATGCTCTTCTGACTGAGGACCTTCTATATTTGGTTCTTCCGAGAGGTTATCTGAGACATCATCTGCATTTATAAATGTTGACTCGCTCTCTGAGTCACTGGAATTTGTCTTGTGCATGTCCTTATACACCACATTCTCGTTGAATATCATAACATCTCTGCTCTTGATCACCTTCTTGTTTTCATTGTCCCAAATACGGTAGCCGAACGCTTCTTCACCATACCCGATGAATGTGCATTTCTTAGACTTGAGATCAGGCTCATTCCTTTTAATCACTAATATACACATAAGCTATACAACCGAAAACTCTGAGATGTGCGAGGGTTACCTCCTTTCCGCACCATACCTCTTCTGGTATTCCGTGCTCCAATGGAACCGATAGACCTCGGTTGATCAAGTAAGCTGCTGTGTTGATTGCTTCTGCTCAGAACTGCTTCGGTAGACCTGTTTGTATACGGATACTTCTGGCTCTCTCTGTCAACGTTTTGTTCATCCTCTCAGTTACACCATTGTGTTGAGGCGTGTCGGGCACGGCTCTCTCCATTCTGATCCCGTACTCATAGCAAAACTTCTTGAATCTGGTATCTTCATACTCATCATCATTGTCTGTTCTGAGTTTCCTTGTTCTCAGACCGATCTCATTCTCGACCATAGCTTTCCATCTCCTGAAAGCTTCAAACACTTCTGACTTGTGCTTTAGAAAGTAGACCCACATTTTCCGAGAGTGATCATCGATAAAAGTCACGAAGTAGTGTTTCCCACCAATAAACGTGGCGATGGTTGGTCCCCAAACATCCGAGTGAACAAGCTCTAGCTTCTGCTTTCTGGGGTTCTGCTACTTGTCTGAAAGCTAACTCTCTTCTGCTTTCTAAGTATGTATTCTTCACACATATCGATCTTTACTGATTGTAAACCTGTAAGTTTTCTCTTTGTGTGTATAATTTTCATCCCCTTTTCACTCATATGACCGAGTCTCTGGTGTCACAGCTTTGAAGTCTCATTGTCTGTTGTAACTGAGATCAAACGTGCACCTGCTGTCATATACATGGTATCAGTCTTCATGTCTCTGGCAATCGTCATTGCGTCTTTTAAAATCCTCCAATCATCACCATGAAAAGTCGTAGTGTAGCCTTCACTAGCCAGCTGGCTTACTGAGATTAAGTTCCTTTATAGGTCGGGAATATACCTGACATCCTTCAGCTCCCATAATGGTCCATTTAACTTAATCTTCACTACACCTTTGTCAATAATAGCACATGGTTGATCATCACTAATGTATACATTTTCAAGGTTTCCGGAGATATGTTTCTCGAGGAATTCTTTCTGAGAAGTAGCATGGAATGATGCTCCAGAGTCCAACACCCAAGACTCCTCATTGCTCTCCAAAAAGCATATCAATGCATCATCTCCTCCTGAGGTAGAAGCAACATTTGCATCAGCCTTTGCCTCCTACTCCTTTTGTGCACTCTTGCACTAATTCTTATAGTGTTCGGTTTTCCCGCACTTCCAACACTCGATAGCCTTCGAGCTGCTGGGATTCCTGAATTTGGATCTCATGTCCTCTGATCCATTTCCTCTTATTGAATTTCTACCTCTTGACTTTATATGCAATATTGAAGATGTTATACCTTCACCCGACTCTCTCCGTCGGATCTCCTCACTGAGAACCAGATCACGAACATCGTCAAACTTCAACTTGTTGCTTCCCGACGAGCTACTCACAGTTGTGACTGTAGCATTCTAACTCTCTGGTAGGGAAGACAAAAGGATCAACGCTCGAACTTCCTCATCAAACTCATTATCAACTGAACTCAATTGGGTCGTGACTGTATTGAGTTCATTGAGATGATGTGCTACCGATGCACCTTCCGCCTTTCGCAGATTGAACAACTGCCTTATTAAATGGACTTTATTTGAGGTTGATGGCTTCTCATACATATTTGAGAGTGCTGCCATAAGACCCGTCGTGATCTTCTCTTTTGCAATGTTAAAAGCAACATTACGGGGTCAAACGATTAACCCCAATGGCCTTTCTGTCTAGAAGATTCCAATCTTGTTCCTTCATACCCTCCGGCTTCTTCCCTGAGAGAGATTGATACAATTTTGTTTGATATAGATAATTCTCTATCTGTATTTTCCAGAATTCAAAATCTGATCCATCAAACTTCTCTAATCTCACATTTCCTTCATCTGCGGTCATCGCTCTCACTTGAATCTGAGTTCCTCTAAATCGTTTTAGGCTCTGGTACCAGTTATTTGGAATTTACGCCGAAACCCCTAAAACAGCAGAAACGCAGTATAAAAAAAATACACCAAGATTTAATGAGGTATGATAACTGCCTATGTCCTCGGGAGCCACACAGTAAATTTCTTATTAATCAACAAGAAATTACAAAACTTAGAGCAGATCTCAAACTGAGATATCTTAATAAATACACAACACTATAGCTACAGTATTATACAACTCCTCTTCTTAAATCCTCTCTTTAATTCCCTTTTCTTAAATTTCTCCCCTTTTAATCCCCTAAAATCACTGCTTAGGCGCTGGAGAGAAAAAAAAGCGCTGGAGAAAAGAAGAGAGAGAAGAGGCCGCCGCTGGAACTGAGCGCGAGAAGAAGCGCTGGATCCGTGCCCTGGGGTTTCCCTTTTATAGGGAAACCCTAGCGACATGTTGGCGACAGCCTGTCGCCCTCGCATGCAGCGCTCGAGCTCACCTGCAGCGATTCGATCTCGCCTGTAGCGATTCGACCCGAGCTCGCCTGCAGCGATTCGATCTCGCCTGCTTCGAGTTCGCCCGCGCTCCACTAGCTCGAGCTCGCCTGGACCACGTCTCGAGCTCGTCTACTGCAACTTCGAGCTCACCTAACCTCGTCAAGCTCGCATACAACTCTCGTCCGCCCCAACCTCGCCTGAAGGTCCCGCCGAGCTCGCATGCTCACGAGATCTCGAGCTCGCCGACTGGAGCTCACCCTCGCCTGAGCTTCGTCCTCACCTAGAAATGCTCGCCTGCAGGTGAGTTTGGGCTACACACCCCGATCCAACAGTTTATTGTTTGAGAAACTACCTTTTTTATATGATGAATAATTTGAAATTCCGAGTTCTTCCTCTTCTTTGTCCTCCTCACGTTTACATTCTCTTGATTTCTTCCTTTCATCTACATTTTTATCCCTGACTCTTCTTCTCTGTTCACTGTTTACGAGTCTAAGAGTATACCCTTCAGTGCACAAGAAACCTGGCAATACACAACAAATAATTAATTTCTCATAGTGAATATGCATTATGAATATCAAACATAGGCATATGCCGTAACTGTAAAAAGAAAAAATATATATATAAATACCTGTCAGATTATAAATCCCTGAAAACGTCATATTGCTCTTATGGCCTGCTCTTGTAGTGTCTTCCCTAGTATCCATTTCATCATGCTGTCTCTTTTCAGTTTGCTCATGATCGGTATTAACATTACTAATTTCACTCACCTAAAAGCACATTAATTTGTTAGATCTTGAGACATGATAAATTAGTAGAAAGGACTTAGTTAGGAATTGGGAGTTAATAATACATATAAATTCATCAAATAAACAATATAAAATGTACAAAGGAAACTGGTCTTTCCATCAAACTTGAGAATAACTTGAGAATAACATTTTCATGTAAATACATTACCTTCTGAGCATATCTTGATGAGTTATAGGACTTCTCGACGGCAAGTAAGCTATGTGATTGTTCACGGTGAGAAATATTTGATGCTTGTCCTAAGAAGTGGTGAAACTCCTCGAGCACTTCGGGGTGATCATGAACGAGTTTTGCCACCTGAAAAGGAGAAAAGATTTGAAGAACAAACTGTAATTTGAAATAACGGCCCCAAAAAATATAAACACATAAATACATACATCTTTGTAAGCATCAGAGCGGCAACCACCGTCCTTCAGAAGCACGTATAAGGTTCACAAGAAGCATCCACAGGCGTGCTTGCTACTTGAGTAAAGCCACTACAAAAGCAAAGATATAGTATGGGAACTAAATATCGACCTTAAAATGATCTACAAAACAGAAAATATTGTACATAAAACAAGTAGTGCACGTCAACTAGGACGTTCAAAACAGTAAGGGTTAGTGTGTTAACCCCAGACACAAATTATAAAACACAAAAAGGTGGTGTATGTATAATGTGTCTTCTCTTTTATGGTAGAATAGTCAAACTAACTAATTACTAAACCACTTTTATTCCAATTCCGTCCATCTTCTTTCATCAAATAACATCACTATTAAACTTCGACATTCTGCAACCATGGACTAGTATTTATCTTAACTTTGTATAAGGATAACAATCAATTGTTTGCTATTATATGATTCCAGCTTCAAAATTAAAATTCCATATAACCACACCACGAGAAATGATTCATGGGGAGATTATTAAGTGTATAATTCATGTTTGGTTCCATCCAAGAACAATCCAAAATTTCAATGTGTCCATTGCATACTGAAGATAATACGCAGTTAACAATCATTAAACTTCTACAAAGCTCTAAAATGTATATAAGGAAGGAAAAAATTTGCAAAAAAAATAATCTAAAACAAGCCTTTTCAATCTCCTTGTAAGTCTGTAAGCTCTTAGTTTAGTTAAATCATAGAATCTAAATTACACGGGTTTCCTATAAGGTTATTACCATTAAACTTCGACACCTCAACAACAATGTAATAGTATTTATCTTAAACTTATATAATGTTAACAAACAATTGTCTGCTCTTATAATTCCAGTGTTAAAATAAGAAAAAATTAAAAAAAACACCACATAATTGTACCACAACAAATAATTTGTGGAAAGATTTAGTATAAATTCATGTTTGGTTCAACTCATATCCAATCCAAAACGTGAACGTGTCTACTGCATATCGAAGGCAATAGGAAGTGAGTGCCAGATTCTTTCATAAAATTAACTTTTTCAAAACTCAACATTTATAAATGGAAGCAAAATTCTACAAAAGTAAGACATTTTTTTTGAAACATCTCCTGCTTGTAAGTTTGTAATTTATTATTTGGTTAAATTATAGAATCTAAATTACATGGGTCTATAAAATGCACAAGCATAATCAAAATATACATAAAAATAATCAACTCTAATTCCAACATACCATAACTTGGGAGATAAGCCTCGAATCACGTGTAAGGTCGACGCGCTTCTTCTTCCTCCTGCTCTTTTGCACAAGAAACAGCAGGTAGAACCCCATAATCATTCTCTTGTCGGCATTGAACAATGCCCCTAACCGCGCAATTATCTCATCACAATCCCTACAACCACAATGATATCAATAAACAGAACAAGATAAAGATAAAAATCCTACCAAGAAAATTAAATTAAAAAAACAAAGGAATTTAAGGGTAATGAACGCCAACTTCTTGTTAATTAAATCCACAACAATTTGATGGAACTGCATATATTTCACTTCTTCATCCCTAAACAAATGAACAATTTTTCACTGTAGACCCGATCTGAGTTTTTATTACCAAAACCGACTCAATTTTTTTTTAATTATCAAAATCGACCCGTTTTATGCCACGTAGGCTTAATCTCATTTCCTAATTAGTCGGGGTTGCCAACCCCGACTGTTTAGGAATTGTTAAATCCCAATTAAATCAGGTTTAAGGCTTCTAATTGGTGTTTAACAACTCCTAAATAGTCGGGGTTGGCAACCCCGACTAATTAGGAAATGGGTTTAAGCCTACGTGGCATAAAACGGGTCGATTTTGGTAATTAAAAAAAATTTCGGTCGATTTTGATAATAAAAAATCGGTTTAGGTCTACAGTGAAAAATTGTTCCTAAACAAATCTATCACGTTCCCTAAAAAGTAGAGACTACGTACTGCCAGGATCTTTCGCCATAGCAGTTCAAATTAAAAACCTAAACCCTAATCTCAAATCCTCTGAAAGAAAGAGAAAATGTCTTTAGAATTGAGATGCTTTTATAGTTAAAAGTTAAATGGTTTATAAAAGAAATCCGGTGCCCTTGTATTATTATTATTATTAATTTTGAAGTAATGAGGACTCCGACTCGTAGAAATAGGATCAAACAAGTTAGAAATACAAATATACAATATTGTCATTTATTTTTCAGAGAATTATAATTAAAAGTTGAAATTAAAATTTAAATGAGATAAATTAAAATCACCACCTCGCCGCTGCCAGCGGGACCTCGCCATGGCTGCGTCGGGCTTTTAGAAGACAACCGCATAGAGAAGTCTACGCAGAGTGGGATTATTGCGGTACGACAAATACTTTAATCTCATTAAGTATCCTTTTAAAATTGACTCCCTCGATTCACTGAACTTGCCATGAGGTCCCTCTATTTTCATGGGGGGGAATGATTTAAGGATCCAAAATATGCGACTAAGAGAGGGGACATGTGAGGTGTCCCCTTCCTATTACATAATGAGTTGGTCATACCAACTCATTATACAATAGAGAGGAAACATCTCACTCGTCCCCTTCCTTGGTCCTATTTTTTGGGTCCCCGTAGCAACACCCTTTCATGTCTTATCTCAAAGATTACTCCCCCGATTCATTGAATTAGTAATTAAGTCCGTCGATTATCATAAGTTATTACAAACTAACCCTATTAACCTAGAATAGCAGTGGAAGATAGATGACTAGATTCAAAATATTAAGTATGTAAGGAACTAATATTGAAAAAATCCTAAAACATTATATTTAGGGGGTGTTTGGTTCAATTTCTATAAATTATAGGAAATGTTTTCCACCAAAAATATAATTTCCTTGTATGTCTTAAAAAAAATTATAGGAAAAGTTTTGAGAAGTCAAAAAATACTAATTTTCTTATTTTTTTTTACTTTGCTTGTTTGGTTCAAAACAAGAAAATGACCAATAACTTTATAGAAAAAAGCAAGATTTTCTATAATTTATAGAAATTGAGCCAAACACTCCCTAAATTTAGAGAAAAGTGATAACTTTATAGAAAAATTTAATATGGTGTCAGATTTCTGGTTGATTTTCTCCCATTTTGAGAGGAAATTGATTTATGTAAATTTTGGTATTTTTTTGTACTTTACAGAAAATATTTCTGTAAATTTTTTTGAACCAAACATAGTTTACGGAAATATACAGAAAACTTTTAATTACAGAATTGTCATTATTAGATATTTTGAGAAAACTTTTCTATAAAATTGTGCAACCAAACACCCCCTTAAACCTTGGGAAGTAGGGGTGCAAATGGAGTCCGCTTTCTATGAGAACCCCCTGCACAGGCGAGGTGGTTCTGAGCGTTTCAT